AGCAGCGGGGGTGGGATCGCGTGTTTAGTGACCTACTCGTCGAATCCATGAAGGGACTCGACGAGTAGGAGCTGGCAAATGAAACCCTAAATCTCGGGGTCTTGCACCCTATTTAAAGGAGCCTCAGCCTCCTTTCGTCTCTTTACAGTTCTGGAGAGTTCCTAAGAAAACCCTAATTCGTGTGGTGCCTATTTGTGTGTGTGTTAAGCTTGGAAAGAAGATTCTTGGAGGAGGAAAGGCTTGGAAGGCAAGGAAATTGGAGCAAGGAAGTGTGGGAATCAGATCATACCTCAGCTAGCATCTTCTGGAGGTATCAAGTTGCAATCTTTACTTCCCTTTCCTTCTAGATCTCTTTTCTTTTGGTTGAGTTTTAGGGTTTTTATGGATTTTGAGTTGACATGGGGGAGCTATGGGCTAGATCTGAAGTTGTAACTTCAGATCTGGACCCTTTCTAAGTCCTAGAGTCATAAAGTTGCGGGTTTGGGAGTGATTGAGACCCTCCTTGTGCATGAAACCCCATTAAGAGCTTAGAATTTCCATTAAGAGCCTTTTTAGCCATGCATACACGTAAAGTTTGCAACTTTACGTGAAAAGCATGCTCTAGAAGCTTGGATCTGTAATTTGGAGCCATTGCATGGCTTAAATGAGTCTGTATGACTTAAGGGCTGAAGGAACTCGGCGAGTCGCAAGGTTGACTCGGCGAGTCGTATGAAGATGGCCTTGAACTCGACGAGTTGGATGAGCAACTCGGCGAGTCCGATGAAGATTGCCATAGACTCGGCGAGTTGTATGAACAACTCGGCGAGTCGGATGAATTTTCTCCAGGATTTGTATGTGTGTGCATCCGTCGAGTTGCAAGAAGGAAACTCGACGGGTGGCCTTGAAGTTTGATCGAGAATCGGAGGAACTCGACGAGTCACCTCGATGACTCGGCGAGTAGCCGAGGGTACTCGGTGAGTTAAGGTCAACATGTACTGTTGACCTTGACTGAGGACTTTGACTTTGACCAGGGATTGTCTAGTGGGTTATGGAATACCTTATAAGGTTAAGGGCTTATGAGTATATTGTACTATGGTAATAGGTGGTGGAGCCTGTGTCAAGTGACCCGAGGGTTGAAGTTTATCTACCGAGTCGGCATCTGCAAGGTGAGTTATCCTCACTATATCGATAGGGTCTAAGGCACCAAGGCCGGCCCTTTAGTTGTTATCGTTATGGTATGCTACATGTAGATATGATCTGTTAGATCAGAATCAGGATAGACTATATGTTATGCTCTTATGATTCGTAGGGATTGACATGTTAGTGACCTGCTAGGTCAGTGCTCTAGTTATGAGTGATTGCTATGTTTGGTGATCAGTGAGATAGATATGTTTGATGATTGTATATGCCAGTATATGTTAGTATGCGCACATGCTTAATTGCTTGTTGCTTGGTTTGAGGCGGTCCTGCTCTGTGCTGAAGGCCAACACACCCTGTGAGCGGTCCGGGGAAACTGTAGGCCCACGTGGCGGTCCAGTCATGCCGAAGGCTCGGTATAGATTCAGTGGGACTGTAGGCCCTGTAGGGCGGTCCAGTCAGGCCGATGGCCCAGTATGCATGTTGATTGAATGATTGATGCGGATTTGGTATTATCAGTATGGTATTGGTATTTTGGGGGTAGCTCACTAAGCCCTCGGGCTTACAGTTTTCAGTTTATTGTTTCAAGTACTTCAGGAGTTCATGGCAAGGCGAAGGTGTGACCGTACCGCTCCTCATCCTTATGATCTGTTTTTGGGACACTCTGATGGAAAATGATTTGAGAATGTTTTGTAAACAAATACTATTTGGTTTTTATTATGGATTGAAAAGTTTAAATTTGGCATAAAATTTATGGATGTTACAGACACTATTGTAGTTTCACTTGTAATGTCCAAGTCCTAGTATACATTTTTCATCCGTTGAGTACTCTATAAATAGAGTAGGTGCATAAGTCGTTAGTAGCTTTTTCGCACTTTGTGAGCTTGTACTTTGTCTCTCTACTTCCGACTTGTACCAATCTGGATATTGTGTTGAATCAAAGATCTTATTTACATCTTGTGCTCAAATTGTACTCTGATTTACATATAAGGTTGATTGAACATCCTTTCAATTGGTATCGGAGTAGGAATCGACATATCATTGGAAGAATCTCATGTCAAATGGTGAGTTATATGTTGGTCACAACACATTTTATTGACGATGATCGAGTGATGCAAAAAAGAATAATTAAGTTTAGACCATTGGATAGTCATAAAGGGATATCACATTAGGCAAGAGATACTAGATTGTATCAATGAAATGACATAATTATAACTGTAGATAATGCAGTGCAAATGATAAAGCAATAAAATTTTTAATAAAAAAAAAAAGCTAACAAGCACATACGACGTGGGTAAACACTTACACATAAGGTGTATGTCCCATATACATAACCTTATTTTTATATAAGGGTTGGATCAACACCAAAGTAGTGTTAAATGCATGCAAAAGACCATATGGTACATTAGAAACTCCACTCAACGGATCGCAAGGTTTAAAGATTGAATGAAAGAACTAAAAGTGGAATCAAATAAATTTTTGTGCAACGATTGTCCCACTCCATGAAAATCGGCGTACAAGTTATTGAAGATTGTTCTAGACTTGGAACATGTATTTGTTCGGATTTAAGTTAAAGGTAATTCGTTATTTCATTACATTTATTTGTTTGTTTTCTTTTTTTTTTCTTTTTTGCATTGGGCAAAATATCACTCCACTTTAAATTGTCATAACTACTTTGTTTTTAATCTGATTGGCCCAAATTTTTATTTCAGCATGTAGTTCATTGTTTTACCTATATTTTGGAATAGGTAAACGCCTTATTTGCTTGTATATTGACTGAGTTACAAGTTACATACCCCTAAAGATGGTATATTAAAGTTGTTTAAGAAAACTAACATTTTGTTCATTGTCCTTGAGGCTGGGGGTTCTAGTCTCGTTGGGGACATAGGTGGATTCAGGAGTAGTTTAAGAGTAGAGTAGATTTGTCGTTCAAAAAAAATCATTTTGTTCATTGTGATAAATCATATCTTTGTAATAAATCATATCTTTGCACGAAAAGCTAAACCCTCCAAGTAAGAGCAATATAAAGTTTGCAGAGTTATGGTTGGCTTTCTTGAGAAACTTAATATCAAACGAACTTAGTACCAACGACAACAAAACCGTTAACACCTGTGTTTTTTTTGGAGTCATATGTGATTAATATAAACATTTATAATAATGGTCGGTAAGTCCCTAATTTTGCTTGATAGGCAATGATATGAAAAGTAAATACGAAAAATATTGGTGCAACATCGAAAAACTCAACAACTTTATATACTTTGTGGTTGTATTGGATCCACATATGAAGTTTTTCTTTCTTCGACGTGCCTTTGAGATGTAGGTTATGTTCACTATAACAGAAAAAAAAAATTGCATTTCCAACTCGGCTATTACTATTACTTTGAAGATTAAGTCCTTAATACTGGATCTGGAAAAGAATCGAGAAACTTTTTAATGTGCACAAGGAAAAGTTAGAAAATATAAAGTCTAACATATCTTCTCATACACGTGTTGGTCAAAATGTAGTGTGCGTTGTTGACGAGGATGACTTTGTGGGTGATTTCCTAATAGAAACAAAGAACCCCTCAACTTCAACGGAAACATAGTTGACGTGATTAAGTCCTTAATACTTATTGCCGATAACTCCATATAATAAGGAGTTTGATATTCTACTTTGGTGGAAACAAAAGGCATCTCGTTACCCGATTGTATCTCGCATGACAAAGAGTCTAATTTTAATTATTTATATACCTTTTATAGTATTTATTATATTTAACAATTTGTACGGTAATGTTGGTAGCTGTTTTAGGAATTCAAATTTCTATTTTGACGTCTAATGCAACTTCTAGTACAAACAAACGTATATTAGATGTGTACCAAACAAAATTCTCCACAACCATAATAAAGGCTTTGGTTTGCACTTAACATTAGGCAAAAAAATCAATAAAACCAATTGTAGACAACATAAAATAAGTTCTAAAAGATGATTATGTCGCCAAAGGTAACAATTTCTTGTTATTACTTAATTAACAAACCTTTGATTATGTATGTTATGATCCCACATCGGCCGAAAGTACTATAAGTTAGTGGCTTATAAGTCTAGGTGTCCCCTCCTCCTACAAGCTGACTTTTAAGAGTGAGTTCTACACTTGGGCTTAGGGCATGATGCGGGCCTAGTATGAGATGGGTCCGTATCAATGTACTAACTTCTTACTTCGTTTTATTTCTGGTTTACATTATAATTGGAAGACACGATATATAATCAAGGTAAAAATAGGAAAGAGCCAATAGAATTTCCCTAGCAGCAGCTAGTTGGTATATGATTTATTGGCTAATGGTTATTGCTTGTATGTGATATTATTGTTGACCATGTAACTGTTAAGTTGATATCAAATCATATGGGTATGATTAATGTTTAAATGGTATTTCAACTTTGAAATTGGAATGTTTGCCCATGTTATGTTTATATGTACTTGGAAATTATGATCAAAACTCAAAAAACATTTACTCACTTGGAAGGCATGCATGTTAAACTAGCACCCATAAATATATACAAATTTTTTGTATTTTTCACTAGGAAAATCATGTGTGGTCAAAATGAACTTCCAATCATACCAACATATTTACCTTTCTTACCGATAATAGCAATATATAACCTAAAACTTGTCAAATACATACAACTTTTATGTTATACATTGCCATTATCAAAAAAAATGCAAGTGCCTTGTTATTGGTTTACTTATTACAATTATCCGTAAAAATGTAACTATGTTGTTATGGGTTTACATATTACTATTAGCCGTGAAAAATATAAGTATGTTGCTACTATGAATTAAAATCAAATATCGTAGTCTAAATTTACGAAGAAAAAAAAAACGCTACAAAATTTGGAACTTGGGTCGATACTCTCAAATATATAAAACTTCAACACAACAAAATTTTGAATAACATGATAAAAATATAATACGGGTAAGAAGGTATTAAATCATAAGTAGAAGAAGAGGCTGAAATTTTTTAGAGCATCAAGTTGGTTTCATCACCTTCTCCATTTAAGAGCTCACCAACACAAAATTGATTCAAATTTTGATACATTTTCTTCCATTGTTGGACCATTTGCATGGATCTTTTGCAGTCTAGTTTTAGTCTTTCCAGTTCCATTTCAGAAGCTCCAGAAGAACCATGTTGCTGACAAAATTTATGAAATGATTAAATGTAAGAAACACTATTGTTCATATGATAATTATAATATTAAATTGATAAGATAATACTAACCTGAAGCTCATTAATCTGGTTGTTCATAGATTGAAGAGTGGTGTAGGTGGTGGCATCATAAGAATTGGATCGAGGAGTGATGAATGCATTAAGCTCTGAGTGTTCATCTATTGAAGAGTATTTCTCAAGTGGAGGTGGTAATGCCACGTGTCTTCTTCCCATTGGACCTTGATTATTATTATTTCCTGCTGTTCGAGGGTAAAGCGCTGCTGGTTGTCGCATAACAACAATATTGTTAACAGGACCTGCCACCACAACAAAGAAATATAATTTTTTTTCTTTAATTAAAAGAAAAGTAACTAAAATAATATTTTTTTAAAAAAACTTTACCTTTCGCATGTTTAAAAACACGAATGATATTACGAGTTTTAGTGTCCCAAACACGAACCATTCCATCCTCTGATCCAACAACCAATTGAAATCCATCCAATGCAAAACCCAAAGAGCATATCGCCTTACTATTACAAATACAAGAAAAAAGTTGGAATTAGATTATTAATTTAACAATATTATATTGTAAAAAAGTTTGGGTTTCACATACCTTTGATCAGATAATGTGCCAATGATATGCAAACCATAGTTGTTGTTGTTGTTATTGTTGGATGTAGTTTGAGCATTGAGTTCTGCAATGTATATTTTCCCATCTCTCCCACCAGCATAAAAAACATGTTCCCCTGGATCTAATGCAACTGCATCAATTATTGAAGGGAACACAATATTTCTCAACAATGTCCCTCTAGCTAGGCTCCATACCTGTAATTTAAACAAATTCATGAGGGCATTCATGTCTTTTTCCGAATATTTATGCAATATGTACCTTGCAAGTACGATCTAGAGAAGAAGATAAGATAATTGCATTGGATCCTCCATAGCCTGTAACAATGTCTGTTACAGGTAAAGCATGACCAGTGAAACTGTACTCATACAGATGTCCTGCTCTCTGTTGTCCTTCCTCATCAAATATCCTAATCACAATAGGTAGAAAATGTATGTGTTTTGAGTTTATTGGTGATAAACCCTAAAATTGCAGATCATGAATGTAAAAGGGTAAATGAGTAATTATACATACATCAGAAGTGACCAGACTCGAACAGTTCCATCCTCGGATCCAGAAATCAAAAGTGATTGATCATTAGAAAACACCAAGCAAGTAACAGGCCTATAATGGCCATGCCATTTCTTCAATAATCTACCTGTTGCAACCTATGATAAAAGATCAGTTTCTTACAATAAAGTGTATACAGTAAATCAAAATAATAGAGTTATCAATATAATTTGAAGAGTGATTTAGATAAAAGGAGAGAAATCGCTAAAAGAGGATTGATTGTTTCAGCTATTGACATCTCATTACTCACCTCCCACAAGTAAATATGACCAGAAACTCCTCCTCCTACTATGTAAGTGCCATCACTATTGCAAGCAAGAGGATTGATTGCTTCAGCTGGAAAACTCTTAACTTCTACCTGAGGCTGCAACAGCGAAAACCAGAACATAAGTGACAAATTTGATACTTTTCAAATGAAAAAGTTATATGAACTACATAAATAGTTATATAGTTTAATGTAGTGAATGTTGGGTGATTGAACTCCTATCAGAATCTAGACAACAGTAAGTAATTAAGAATTAAGCTATCATATTTCCCTTGCAATTCCACTGTATGTTGAAAACCTAATCGAACAATGTGTTCGAACATTTAGAGAAATGTGATGCAGTAATTACCTTGTTCCACGACCAGAAGAGAACGGAGCCAGAGGATGATGAAGAATCACGGAGCTGGGAGGAAGCAAGGAAGCGTCCAGCGACGGATACAAGGCCGTGAGGAGGAGAGGCGCATGAGCGGTAGCGGAGATGTTCTGCACCGGAACGAAGGCCCCAGCAACCGATTCCGGCTTCGATGGATGAAGAAGCGATGACTACTTCATCTTCCATTTATAGAGAATTTAAGGGCTTGATGGAGGTTCGGTTGTAGAGACGGCCGAGAATGCGGAGGAGATGGAAGCTGCAAGAAAATCAACCGATCGTGGGTTTAGGAACTGCAGTACGAGGGTTTTAAGCGTATCGTCCGCACATATGAAAAAGTTTTTTCAAAAAAACACAAATTTACCCTAATTCTTTAATTTTTTTTATTTTTTTTATTATTATTTTTTTAAATAGCATTGAGATTAAACAATTAACAAATCTACATAAAAGTCTCAAATTTATTGGAAAAGTTAATAAAGTCCTCAAAAAAAATTAACAAAAAAGTCCTGATTATCATTTTGTCCAAACTAACGAAAAATTCATTTTTTATATTTGAACAGCAAATGACATATTATGTGACTTTCTCAAAATAATGAAACTTTTCTGTTTAAAAACTTTTTTAGAACTTTTTTAAAACTTTTCCCAAAATTTTAGGATTTTTCTGTAGATTTCTCTTAACCTTATGATTGCACTTGGGGAGTGTTCGGCAAAATTAGCTGTTGGCGGATAACTTATAGTGAGTATCGGGTAGCTTGTAGCTTGTAGCGTTTTGTTAAACGCTATATGAAGTAACATTTGGATTTGGAGCGTTTTATTTAAACTAAATGCTAGAAGCTTGTAGTATCGAACGAGACTTTCTGTTCAAAATGGAACGTTTTGTCAAACGTTGGAAGCTCTTAAATGCTACGTGCCGAACACGCCCTTGGAAACTTTAACCTTCATAGGCTTTGGTTTTGCATTTGTTTGATTTTCATTTTTTGTCAATTTTGAACCCTTCGATCTTCCTCATATGCATTTCGATTGACCTGTTTTCACCCTATCAACTATAACTTTCATTTAGAAAGTTTGTGCATATATTCCTTGGTTTTAGGGGGTGTTTGATTGTTTTTTTAAACTCTAAAAGTGCTTTTGAGCAAAAGTATATTGACTTGTGGTGATAGCAAAAAAAGTTTTTTTTAGGTGTTTGGATTAGTTTTTGTGATGACAAAAATCAATAAGTCAATAAGTTTTAAAAAAATATTTGACTTAGAATCCCTTAAGTTTTCGGTATTTCTCTTAAGTTTGCTCCTCAATATCAATATAATTTGTAATTCTAGTTCCCAAAAGTTTTTTTTAATTTAAATAGTAATATCTATTTCACACCTTTTCCCACACAAAAAAAAAAAAAAAAAAAAAAAAAAAAAAATTAACAATTTCACCCCACCTTTCGTAAGTCATATATGTTCGGATCACTAAGTAAAAAATAGAGATTATAAACAAACCTTTTGATATTTTTTTAGAATATTTTACATAGATGAATTAAAATACATGATAAACAATAAAGAAGGGATACAAGTGTATGTTGTTGTGTCGTCGTGTTGTTTGATAGCATTAATTTAAACAAATCTTTACTTCATTTCCCTTAAGTTCACTCCTAAACATCATTATAATTTGTAGTTTCTAAAAGAGTTTTTTAATTTAAAAATAATCTCTATTTCATACTTTTCTCCACCAAAATATGAACAGTTTAATTTTAACAGACTTATTTTGGTCTTTCATAAGTCCTATATATTTAGCTCACTATGTAAAAAAAATAGAGATTATAATATAGACATTTAAATATTTTTATAATATTTTACATAGGGAAATTAAGACATAACAAACAATAAAGATTATTATAAAACAAACTTTATGATATTTTATAGTTGCTAACAAACGAAAATTAAAATACATAAATTTTTTAACATATGGAAACTTTAAATTAAAATAATAATATTATAGGATTTACGGTTTTTTCTTTTAAGAAATCCCTTCAAAAACTAAAAGTAAATAAAGAAGGATAACTTACATATAAACTTCAATGTCATACAACTTTTTATGCTACCAACTTGACAAAGGCAAGAATTTTTAAGCGAATGGTTTGAAAGAGAGATGTTTTCTTGCTTCTAAGTGGCTTTATCTAATTCTTAAGCAAATGGCTCTTTATATAGAGAAATTTTTAGTGAAACTTTTGATCGGAACGGGAACTGTTGAGAAGAGTACACATATGTCTTTTCTATAACAAGTGAATTGCATTATGATGGTCTTGAACTATTGCTTAAAATTTTAACAAATAGAAAGTTGTGGTGGTAGTCTATGCTATTAATGCTTGAACTATATTACTCATAAATGAAAGTTGTGGGCTATTATTTGAAGGAGAATCTTGTAATAGTAGTATTTTTGTCATATACAAAAAAAGATTCTATGTATATGATGGACACTTGAATCTAACAGAACGTATAATCTGACTGATTGTTGTCTTCATTCAGATTTTTTCTAGAGGATGAAACTTCATAATATTTCAATGGTCTTCTATTTAGTTTATAATATTTTCGAGGTTTTCTTGAGAATGATTTGGATCTTTGGCATCTTTAAAAATGGAAGAAACCGGGTTTTCTGGAATTAAGGGGAAAGAGGAAATTTTAGATTATCCGGACCAGATGTGGGACTATATTTGACTAGCGTTTTATGGGTTCATTAAGTGAACTAATTTTTTGTTTATTTTTGTTTTCCTATTTTTATACTAAACTATTTTTAGTAATTGTTGATGTTGATGGTTGAAGGTAGGGTTGTTAATCGGGTTAACCCGATCGGATTTCGGATTAAACGGGTCGGGTTAGTCGGGTTTTTCTTGAAAAAATATTCACCTGAAACCCGACCCTAGTAAGGTACGGGTTAGTCGGGTTCGGGTTAATCGGGTTTCGGGTTAAACGGGTTGGGTTTTTCGGGTTGAGGTTGGAATGTAAAATGAATTTATGTTGTGTCATTTTAATACATAATCCACATGTATAGGGACTTAAAATGTAAAGTTGGTATACGATATGAATTTATAAACGGTGAATAAAATTGGTAAACTTTACAACACATTAAGAGGAGAGGAAAATTATACCATTTTATACATCTCCATACATAGTAATTTTACTCTCTGGTTTGTTTAAATAAGAAATATGTATTAGTTGTAAAATCTCATGGGATCTTGAATTCATGTCATTCAACGCAATAAAAGAGTTTTGGTAATAAATTCTTAATCGGGTTATTCGGGTTGACCCGAAACCCGAATTGTTTTGAAAAAATCAACCCTAAACCCGACCCTAATAACAATTCGGGTTAGTCGGGTTAACCCGTATAACCCGGTTAAGAGTTCTAACCCTACTATTAAACCTGATCCTAATTACCTTATTCGGGTTCGGGTTTTTTTGACACCCCTAGTTGAAGGTAATATGTTTCGTATATTGTACTTTATTTTTGGTTTTGCTTTCGATTTTGACTTGCACATCACCGATTTTACTTTTTATCCTTTAACTTGTTGATTCTAAACCAGGTTTTACTTGGTTTCATTACCTATAACTAATTACAGATGACATCACCTTTTTTCTAGTCAAAATAAATAATGCGGGAGATGAACATGAAGTAGGTGTAGGTGAAGGTAGTAATAATATATAATATCCAAATGCCAAGTAGTGCGACTATACATTATATAAAAATGTGACAACATCATTACCAACAATGAATCACAAATACAAGTTCTCCATATTTTGTTCCTAAATCTCTACCTCAGCTTACGTCAGCAACAAGTCAGCAAATCCTGTGTTGTTGTATGTACCTCTGGAATGGAATTGAATCACACGGGATTCATGATTCCGGACTTTGTGCGTTGAGCTATTTCTCTTTCCCGTCTATGCATAACCCGTAAAAACTCATCCGAACATAAATGCCCATCTTGATTTGCATCAAATAAGTGAAAAATCAGCTCAATTACATTCTCACTCAACGATATCCCACATACCTGCATACAAAACATAACATAAGTGATAAGACTAATGCTTTTAAATTCCTCAAATGGAGAAACACGGGGGTATTTTAGTAATCTTACATGAGAAGCAGCTCGTTGAAAATCATTCCTAGTCAAAAACCCGTTGATTTTTCCGTAGCTGAAAAGGGCAAGAGAAAAGGGTTGCAATCTTTTACGTAATTCAGCAAAGTTTTTAAATTCCTCAAATGAAATCCGTATGTCTTTCAAGTGAGACTCATGATCCAACTCATCAACACGATCAAGCAACCTGTTCATATGTCGTATATCACCAGATGCCACCATTGACAACACAAAATCCTTAGCTGATATTGTCCCACTTGATTTGAAATCATAATGTGAAAACTCCAACCATATCATCTAATACATAATGCAATAATAAAAGGTTTATCAGACATAGGGTTAAAAAATATAAAAGTACAATGAAATTATGTACCTCATGGTGGAGATCCCGTAGAAATTGAACAAATTTTTCAAGTTGTAAGCGTTTGTTTCCATCTTCACCAAAAAAGTAGTTCACAAGTCCTCCATTTTCTAAACGACCTCCAACTTTAAATCCAGTGCGATTTCCACCCTTCTGATAAGCGCCTTGTCTATTATGACCTCGCATTAAAGCCATCACTTTTTTAAATTCTTCTCTATCTATCTCCCTGTGGGTGGATTCACACAAAATTAAGCCACTCAGTAATATAAAAAGGTTTCAAGCATTTTAAAATGGCTGCTTAGCTTACCCATCATTGTCGATGTCAAACATTTTAAAAGCGACTGAAAAGCTGGACTCGGGTATGCTGAGTAGTGTAACAAAAAATATATACCTGTGAAGAAAAAAAGATATTAGTAATAAGGAACAAAAAATAAAAGATCTAAAATCCAAGAACTCACTCTTTAAAAGATATGAGCCCATCATTGTTGACATCAAAAAGCATGAAAAATTCTGAAGGAGCACAATGCAATTCTCCTGGACGTCTTTCTCCTCTAAGAGATCCATCGCGTACAAGGTTTGATTCAGAAGGAGGGAATACAGGAACAATTGCACGCATCAAATCGCCAGGTGTCATAAGAATTTCCCCTCTTGTAGTCCTGACTGATGCAAAGTATTCAAATACCTTCAAACAAAACAAGGTTTGACTTTTAATTCAACTTATAATAAATTCAACATCTTTTTAATATGTAAGAGACCTTTGGAATCATATCCACCATAGATATGCTAGAACCAAGGTCAGTGTGCCTGCCATAAAACATACAAAAAGGTTTGGAAGTTGAAAGACTTATTACAAAACGAGAAACAATAGGCAAGTTGAAGTTGAACAATTGTGTAGAAATATATAATCCCAAATAGATCTTATCTTATTTTAGATGACCACACTGTTCTCACTAGTCACTACAATAAACAGCATATAGATAAGGTATCATCTAAGAGAGCAATTAGGAGCTGAAAGTTCATTCAATAACAAAATTCTTTTTTTTTTCTGTACCTTTTGAGGAGGACTTAACATCCTCAATCTTTTCTCATAGTTGAAGAAGATTCTTCTCCGCAACGCATCTGTACAGACATCAGAACAATCAACGATCAACAGCTTGTTGCATTTCCAAATAACACGTATTTGGATCGGAACTTGACAGGAAACCCTAAGCCGAAAAACTTTGGAGCATTATTAATCCCCAAATTCATGAACATAACAATTTGGGTGAAAGCTTCGAACACAAAAGAATAATAATAAAAACGCTAATTCAATCCGATAGAACGAACGTTTACCTCTGATGAAGAAACTAGAACTTGACAAAGGCTGGCCGTCGTACAATTCCTTAAATCTGTCAGCAGTTGCCGTCATCCAATCAGCAAAACCCAAAGCTGATTTCACCGCGTATGTCGACGATACAGAAGGTGAGCACCAGTAAAGAGAGATCCCGACGCCGGTGCCTGCGACGACGGCGGAAAGCCATCGCAGTAAACTAGGGTTTCTGTTATGAGAATCGGGGGCGGCGGTGGTGATTGATGTTGCGATCAATGAAGGTGGTGTTGAGGATATTGAACGGATTTGGTGGTGAATGGAGGGAGTTGATCGCCTGAGAGAAGACATGGTTGACGAATCTGGGAGTGATTGAAACTTGAAAGTCGGTTTTGATTAACCGGCGATAAATAACCGCCATGTTGCTTTATAAGCGGCATTTGCCCACAGGTTCGTTAAGCCGTTGACCGTCTTCCTTTCCGTTTTCTTTTTCTTTTCTCTGAATAATAAAATAATTATTATCAATAATAATATATTTCAAGAAAAACTAATAAAACTATAGATAGAAAAAATATGTTTTGTTTATATTATAATTCAAAATATTCATCATCATTTTCCATTTTTCATAATTAAAGTAAAAAATAAAGTAACTCTAGAAGGTGTTAATATATATGGTATGTTTGATAAAAATAGTTGGAAGTCGAAAATTGTATATTCTATTTGTATAAAAATACTTTATAAAATTAGTTTTAAGTTATTAAAATGTATAAAACTACACAAAAGCTAAAATTTTCTAAAACCTATTTGAAATAGTTTTTGGATTATAAAATTTTGTTACAAAATAAAAGTGATAAATACTCTCAAATAAAGTTTGTTATAAAAGAAGAAAACTAAAAACCTAAAAGCTCGTAAAATCTTTAAAATATTTGTTTCTAAATGCTTCCATAATATTGATTAAGTGGGTAAATAGTTGTTTGGCAGTGAAGTACGTATTAATCTATAAGGCTATATGCTATACATGTCCCACATTTAGGAGGGTGCTAATGTGGACCTTTGGCTCCGATGTGAACACCATGCCTCTTACGACAACCCCAAAGATTCGAAACTTCATCGTAGTGATGCCTTGTTGCTTGTTGCTTTTTCCCCTTTTCTTCCGATGTAATTGTGCATTAGAATTTGTATATTGCTCCTAAAAAATGAAAGACAAATATAATATGGTTTGAAAGATGAAAGATAAGAATTATGTGATACTGAGGTGACTCGGAATTGTTAAAGATGAAAATAAATACAACACATAACCTAGGGCTACATTTGTTTAAATATATATTTAGATCTTTTTGTACTTTGTCATATAAATACATAATTTGATTATTTGTTTAGTTTAATAAAAATATATTTAATATATATATATATATATATATATATATATATATATATATATATAAGAAAAAAATAAAATTATTTTTTTAATGATTTTACTATTTAACTTTTAATATTTAAAAGGTAAAATGTTATATTGAAAAAAAAATATAAACAGATAAAATGAAACTTATAATATTTAAAAAGTAAATGCTATACTAAAAAGTATAAAATGATACTCATATTCTTTGATTGAACCCCAAAATTTTTAATTTGAGACCTCCTTTACCGGATGCCCAAGCTTTACCCAATGAGCCGCCACCAAGAGAATGGTTTTGCAAAGTATATTTGCGAAGTTACTATATTTTGCAAAGCATAATTTTTTTAATTAGTACAAGCTTAATAATTAATTTATAACAAACAATCAAATATAATGTATAGGAATACTAATTACTCAATTTTTTGTTGGCCAGTTGAAAATTAAATGCCGATATTTTTATTGGTAAGACTTTAATGTAAAAATATGCTATCATTCATTAATGATGATCATTATAAATTAGTCAAGGTTTGGTATGGTCATGTTTCATGCCCATGGTTTGCTAGCGAGTTTATTCCATGCCCATGGAATTAAAGAATGTTTTTAAGGCCGATGGTTTGTTAGTCCATGGAATTGATTGAATCATCTTTTTGAGGCCCATGGTTTATCTTAGCAGAATAGTTATTCTATTTTTTAAATTCAATTTGGGACATATATTACCTGAAATAAGATTATATGATTGCTCTATATTTATAAAAATTTAGTGTGTTTAGTTTTTATTTTACTTTTGGTTATATTGTTTCAGTTTCTTGTGGTTGTCTTTTGATATAAATAAAATGATTTTTCTACTATTTTTTATATATTTTATATTTTTAACTAATTTTAGTTTTTAAAAAGTAAAAATAAATGAACCCATCTACCCCTCCCCACACCTACACTCTTCGTTAGGGCTGTCAAAAAGTTGGTAGTCAATATGTTTGGCTAACGGGTGATTTGAGTGGAAGTTCTTGGTCTATCACTTTGTGCATGGACTCCATCTGCCTTCAAAAAAGTGGCTTCATCTTGGGGTGAGGTTCTTTTTATCGATGAGGATGAAGATGGCCCAGCTGGATCCGGTAGGGTTTGTATTAAAACCTCACATATGGATAAAATTGCAGGTAAGGTGGCAGTTGATATTGGTGGCCATAAATTTACATGTTTTGTCATAGAAGCGTCATATTGGATTCCCACTATTGAAAATATTGACCAAGATGAACACAAAGAAAGTGGGCAAGAAACTCATTCAGACTCATAATCTGAACATGAAGAGGGAGAGATTTTTTGGAAGTTTTGATAATGTTGAAACAAGGGCTAACGATGAACAAGATAATTCAGTTCATACAAGAGGCGATGATCATAATCAAGGTAAAAGTGGCGGGTCAAATCCGAATTCCCCAGACCATTATGCACACTCTACTTCACAGAAGGGAGGAGTTAAAGATATGGATATGGAAGATATGAATGTGAAAGAAGCATGAGAATTCACCCAAAGAAAGAAAATATGAGGATATGAAAATGTTAATCAGGAATGTGGTGTAGAAGAAATTGTAAAACCTGGTATAGTAGATAAGGAGAAATCAGTCCAAGGTGATAATTTTGCATCCCTATCGAGGGCGCCTGGCTTTAAAAATTTTGGTAATGATAAGGAGGTTGAAAATACTTGTACAACTCGTTTTGCTGACTCGTTTTCTAATTCTAATGGGGTTAATTCTCGTAGTCGATCTAGTCATAATGGCAAGAAGTATAAGTCAACCTCAAAACTGGATGTAGCAAATGTTATTGCTAGATTTATTGAGGTTGGAACAAAACTTTGGTATGGTATGACATGTGTTAGTGATAATATGGAATCTATAATTAAACAAAATGGGTGTGGAGCTAGTAAACAAATGAATATTATGACTATTAATGTTTGTGGTTTGGGTAAGAAGGAAAAAAGAAGTCGTATTTCTTTTCTTTGTTCTCGAATGGGGGTTTCTTTTAGTGGGATGCAGGAAATTAGATTAACTACAATTGATTTGTTTTCATTAAAGAGTATTTGGGGTAACTTTTCTTTTGAATTTGCTTCGTCTAGTGCTCGAGGCATGTCAGGCGGTATTAGTTCTCTATGGGATCCTGTTGTGTTCTCTAAAAAGAATATTACTTCTTTGGAAAACGTCCTCATTGTTGAAAGGGTATGGATTTTTTTAACCTTCATTGTTTTATGGTTAATATTTATGCTCCACGGGAAGAAGGTAGAAAATGCTTTGGGAATATTTGTCTCGGTTTACGAAAAGAAATAAGGGTGCTTATGTTCTATTTTGTCATACCCCCAAACCGGAACGGTGTAAAAGTTCGGGGGTGGAGGACGTCATGTATAGTATCAAAACAATTAAATAATAGTAATCAAAGCAACAACAACCATTGTATTAATAGTATAATGTTTACATTACATTCGAATCATACACGATTGACTCCAAAAGTAAATAACAAGTAAAGACTCAAAGTTACTATGCTCCATCTTCTTGAATCCGGTGCGTGTACCTGTCTACTAATGTCCTGAGAATACAAGTAGGTTTGAAAGAGTATCAGCATTAAGCTGGTGAGTTCATAAGCGTTTTGTTTTAGAAAACAGGTTCTATGTTCTTTCGAAAAGTGCGTTGTGTTTCTCCAGAAAACCTTATATTCTCAGATGTAATGAATGTTAAGTAAAATGATTCTTAGTAGTTCCTCCTGCGAGTACTTAGTGTGTACAAATCATATACAATCCATATCGAACAAACAATCGATTGTGTAGTTCTGCCCCAAGCCCACAACCAAACAAGGAACAGGAAATGAGGCGGAGACCACACATTCCACTGGTTGTCGGATCTTCATGTATATAACCCTGAAGTATTCACTAAGTACTTACAAAGTTAACTATAGTGGTCCTTTGAAATCTATTGATAATGTTCCTCAAGAAAATCCAATATTTTCTTATTGAAAGCATGGTTAAACCCATTCCTTCTATAACTACTTATTTCATACTAGTTATGTATAAACCAATATCGAACAATCGGTTAATTGTGTAGATCTGCCCTAAACCCACAACCAAACAAGGTACAGGGAATGAGGCGGAAACCACACATTCCACAGTCTATCGGATATTCTTCATACGTAACCCGGATGCATAAATTAAGGAATTATAGAATTAATAATGAATATTCGATAGTTGAATAATAAACCAATTGTTTGAAAAGTACTGATGTTTTATCCTGGAAAATCCTATATTTTCCCTAAGTGCAAGTTATTGAATTATATGTTCCAAACCAAAGAGTATAAGAATCTACCATACTTATGTTGTTTACGCATTGTTCTGTTTGAAAACCCTGGCTACCACCAGTAATGTATAGTATGTCCTGTAAACTAGAAGTGTTGTTAATACCCTCCTGTGATCACTTAGTACATACGAGTTATAGAAATCTAGATCGAACAGACAGTCGATTGGGTGATTCTGCCCTAAGCAAACAACCAAACAAGGAACAGGAAATGAGGCGGAGATCACACATCCCACACGCATGTCGGATGTTAATTTCATATTACCCTAGTGTACATACTAAGTCATCACATAGTTACTAACCCTGTTGACTGTTTTTAGGTATATTATTACGTGAACGAGTCGTTGTTTCCCCTGTGAGTTCTTATAACCATGCTGATGGACGATAACCAATATGATGTACTTCAGACGTCGAAATCTGAAATGACGTTTTTCACCCTTGGTTGACTGTAGCTAATAGTCAGGGTGCGGGATTGTCAGTCCCATATAGATCTATACACAAACTCACGCTCTCCCTCCAGGAGACTCTGCTTCCTAAGGAGTAGACTTCCCAGAAGTCGTGTCTCACACTGTAGTTCTCTCAACGAATCCACGAATAATACTATGAAAAACCCCTTTTTGTTATTAACATGAATCCTTATAAAAATAGTACCTTTATTTCATAATTTCATAAGTTTGTTTCCTT